CATATTTATATGGAAGCATCCTCTGGTAGTGTAGATTCAAATTTGTTCAAATCATGACCCCCGGGGGTAGGGTGGGGCCACAATGGGGGAAAAAAAGTTTTACATAGAAATATACAGGAAAAAATCTTTTCCTCAAGAACAGAAAAGCCATGATTAGTAAAATTGATATGGAGGCATCCTTGGGTACTGTGGAATGAAATTTGTTCAAATGAGGGACCCCCGGGGTAGGGTGGGGCCAATGGGGGATCAAATTTTTACAAATGAATATATGGGAAAAAATCTTCTGCTCAAGAACAGCAATGCCATTTGTTATATTGATATGAAAGCATCATCAGGTAGTTTAAAATTCAAACCCCCCCCCCCCCCCCCCCCCCCCCGTTAACTATTCAATACTTAACTGATTTTTGCTTTTTTTTTCCTAGCCAATGTGCTCAGGTGAGCGATGTGGCCCATGGGCCTCTTGTCAATACTTGTTTACCACATACAGTAAGAAGTGAATGATATATAGTGTGACCATTAGAAAGAAAAAAAGACTGAACCAAAGTTGAAAGAGAAAAAAAACCCATGATTTTGTAGAATTTTAAAAGCTAAAACATCCACATCTTGTTCCTTGGTTATTGTTTGAATACTAGTACATGTATTTTATTTTCAGACATCATTTTGCAATATGTCCCTGAAGTCAATAGGGTATTAAATTCAACAATTATAATCCCATTTATTTTTTGTTTTAAGAATTATAGTTTAATAAGCTTCTACATATATTTAAGAAAGACAGTTTCTTAGAGTTGAATATTCATGTACTGAAAAGACAAGATTTTATTCTAGCTCTAAAATCCTAATAGGTTTTTAGTCTAATGGTTTTGTTTACTTCCATGAGAGAGAGGGTTCTTAGAGTAGACAATTACATGACCAACAGTGTATACCAAGCTCTGTACCTAGAGATGACTAAGACCTTCTGTTAGACACAATAAACTGTATCTCGTGGAGGGGAATATAATGATTTTGTATAACTTTGACAGTGGGGTAGAGAATTACATGAAAAATCTTGTTTTTTTCTCTGATTTGTTCAGTAGGTGTCGTGCCTTATTTCTCTATCAAGGGATTACATCAGTCAGTGTTTATTTATATACATAGTTCACACAGATTATATGTGTACCAGTTTTTTTTAATATAATAGAAAGCTGTATGAGAGCAAGTGGTTAGACTTTGGAATTTGCTTGGAATTCCATGTATTATTTCATTAGATCTTTAACACTTAAAGAAAAACTGTGTTGTTGAAGTCCCTCTCTCTGGTTCTTTACCATATTTATCAACCTGCAGATGATTTGCTTAATAGGTTCATAATTTTGATATAAATACTTCATTTCAAATTAGCATGAAATGGAAATACTGCTATCAGTTAAGACATAGTCAAACAAAGAAATGCGCACAGGAATTTAGAAAGCTCTTGAACAAGGGACTTTGCATAAAACACTTAAGTTGAATGGAGAAAAACAGCTGATTGAAAACCATCTCTGATATCATTTCCATGTGTAAATTCCCTGATGCAAAACTGACATCTCATTGCATAAGTGTGTAGTAACAATGATTTTTAAGGGGATGTAACACGTTTTTTAGATTTGGTTGTCCAACTGTGAGGCGCCATTCACTCAATACATCAAGCTGAACATTGCTTGTCATGTAACGAAATCATCCCTTCTCCTCCCACTACAATATCACAAAAAGCAGTATGACAATAATTGAGAATTCATCTCACTGTGCTTAGTAGAAATTACACTTGAAAGTTTAGAGGATAGGTGTGTACTGTGTGATGAATGGTATGACATCTGTAGTTTTACTATAATTGTAAACTCAGAATCTGTGTTTTTGTAAATGAATGTTGTTTCATAGAACATGGTTTAAGTATTGAATGATCAGATACCTGCTTTTACAAACATTTTTCTCAGAATCTTGTTTTTGTAGAGGGAGGAGGGGAAAATCAATATTCCTTATATCAGGCATATTTTGCTTATTCCTCTCTATTAAATATAATTTTTTTTAAAAACATATTTTACAGTATAGAAAAGTACCATTCTTCAGCAGTGATTAGTTGGCACTTTTTTGTCATATTGATAGTTTACTCTTGGCTGGCATCATGAATACCTGATTTGCGATATGCAGATTTTGCAATTCTTGATTTCCATCTTGGGATACTGTGAAGAATTTGTCCTAAAATGCAGGCTTATGTTTGTATTGATTACAACAATACTGCACTAATCAGATGTCCTCAAGAGTAAAGTGATATTTCACCTCCAATTGGGGGATCATTTGCACAAATTCAATATTTGCTTTTGCTGAGATTTATTTTTTCTGCTGCTACAATGGAGACATTGAGCTATTCTTACTGAGAGTTATGTCAGCTTTTGTTTGTGTATGTGTATTGAGAGAAAAAATGTGAGAAAAAACTGAAAGCAAGTAGAAAATTTTGACGTCAAGCAAGCGGTAGATGACGTTATTGTTTGTCAATATGATCAAATCCAACAGTGCAGTGACAGCTTCTATAGTCCATATGTGGATGAAATCAATGAGTATCTTAGCTGAGACCTCCAGCTATATTTTTCATATTGAGAACCTTGACGCAGCACATTTTATATATACCTGAGAGTATTATCAAGACCCTGGGGAGACACGAGCTTATTTGATTTTATGCTGAATTTTCTAACATAAGGAAAATCCGTTTTTCTCTGCAAGAGTGGGGGAGAGAAAAACAGCCGAATGAAGACTCGGTACTGCTGACCTTCCAAGAAAAACATGTGTTACCTTTTGATATATATGACTTATGATCATTAGGCTTGAGTGTTATAGTGATCAGGTAGTTTGTGGATGTTTAAGATATTAGTGTTGGAAATATAGGAGTCAAGTATGGAGGATTTTTTTGGTGGAAAGGTTTGTCTTGGTGCTTTTAGCCAGCTTTGATATCTTTGGAAATTTCAGAAGGATTTGTCTTGTATATATGAAGGAAATATTTCATAGACTAATGGTTTGTGTGAAAGGAGAGTAACATTTTGTAAAATGGATTATGTGTCTGTTTGTCTTTTTCATTAAGGAAATTCTCTGGTGGTGATTATTTGACTTGGTAAGGCATATTGTCAAGGATTATCAACTGTGCGAAAGTTGGATTAGGCAGCAGACAGGCATCTCTCTTTATATTGGACGTCTGTTGACCGGTCATCTGTTAAGTCTCGGTTGCATTCTTCAGTCAGGCGGAGGGACTTCTCCTGTACTGACACTGTTCACTCACAGATATACACAAAAATCAAAGGAAAGCTGGAAAGTGTGGAGCTATTTGTTTCCTCGTTAATATTGAAGTATTTTGGTATAAATATACATTCTGACATTTATATTGCCTAGGAATGTGGTGCTTAGAGTGAGTCTGTATATAAACTGATATCTACAATTATTCCATGAATTATCTGTGAGCATAAAATCTGCCCTTGAAGTAAAATAAAAAAGCATCAAGGAAATTCTCTGTGATTTGTTGGTAACATGGCGTTTCAGTACATTGGAATGATGCTTGTTCGAATTGCCCATTGGAAGCATGCTAAAATGAAAAAGGTCAGTTTGTTTGCCTCAGACAACAATTACAGAAATTCTGATAAGTTGAATAAATCATATTTTAATAGTTTTTTTTTCGCAAGTCATAACAGTGGAAAAGAAAAGTTACAATTCAAAACTTAGAAGTGGTCATATTTTCTGTGCTTTCTATATCTGAAATCAATTGGAACCCAATTGCCTTTGTTACAGTTAAATAATTTGTTTAGTGCAGATTATCATACACTCAATAATATTGATCATTCTGAAGTGAAATTCTGTGGTTCAAAGATATACACAGTTGTATATGATAATTAATGCATACATTATCAGAAACACTAAATAAAGGTAAATTATAATTTTCACTACTGTAGATTCCTTATTTTACTTGAGTACTTAATATCACGAAATGGCCCTTAGACGACAAATCACGAGAAGTATAATTTGCGAGTGGACGCTTGATTAATATTTTTTTTCTATGGATTTCAGTTCCACAGAAATTAAAGCGAATAATTTTATTTTGCGAGTGGTTCTTCCTCGCATACATTTAGGAATCTACAGTAATTAAAATAGATTTTAAAAAGTTAATAAAAATAAAAAACAAACAAACAAACACAAACATGTCCATCCTTAAAAAGGTTAATTTTAATTAATAAATGTCTATGATTTAAGCAGATTATTATTCTTTATTGAATCTTTATTGGTTTCTTGTTGGATTTACCAAATTATCTGCATTGCTTTATTCTGATGACAATAACAGAATGTTATGCTGTGAATAGAACCAATTATGTAAGACCATGAGTTCAGAATCGATGGATCTTTATAGTTTCATGCGATTCTTCTTTTTTTTTTAGGTCTCATGTCTGTAAGCTCTTACGTAAAAATTCAAGTTATATAAACAGAAGTATGTATTTTCTGTGTGAACTACATGTTGTAAGTAAAAAGAAAATAAAGGAAATGATAAATTGGAGGTTTTTCAATCCAATAAAAAGAGTTTGCATCACCATATCTTGTTTTCAAATGAAACAGGGAGCTGAAATATTGAGACAAGAGTGTGCTAAAATGCTTATAATGTCCAGTATTTTAAAAGATTAAAAGTTGACAGATGCAAAATTATCATAGTTATTAAAGACATTGGTTGAAGGAGAATGATAGATTTCCAACTTACTGGAGACTTTCTGAACAAAAGCCATAGCACAAGGGAGCAGCTTCTCTTTCAGTGAAGGCCATAAATAATACACAATATTTATCAAACATGATAAAGAAACTTCAATACTCTATCTTATTCATTGAATTTGAAAGCAGCAGTTTTTGTTCTTTTGTTTTAGCTCACCCGAGCCAAAGGCTTTGTAATTGAGCTCACCTGAGCCAAAGGCTTTGTAATGAAAAGAATGAATTAGCTGAAGATGACTGATATTTTTTACTTTCAGGGTGATGTGACCATTGTTTTGGAGGATTACTCTGCTGGAAACAACTCGGAGGTGACAGTGACTAAAGGCCAGCATGTAGAAATTCTTGACCCAACACCAAAAGGGGAACCAAACTGGTGCCTAGTGAGGGTGCTGAACATGGAGGATGGAGAACCAACTGAGGGACTGGTTCCCATTTCTTCTCTTAAACCCATACCTGCTCTCAAACAGCACGGAAATCGGGACAGTATGGGAGAAGAGGGTAAAACTAAAGAATATTTGACTATTTCGATAGATTAAACAGATTTATTAGTAGCATTGTGATACAATTATTGCTAAACACATCGAGGAATACAGTGCAATGAGAAATACTAAGTCTTAGCTGAATTTCACTCTCTTTGATCCACCTTGTTTAAAGTTATTGGCAATAACTTTAATTTCTTAAACATTTTCAAAAATTCTGTCATTCATAGAAAGCTAGATAGGATACAAATTTGTTCAATCTTCTGAGAGCTAGCTATATGTACTAACATCCAAACTATGTATGCTTTTGAAATTTTAAATGCTGTCATCATTTGATTTGATTCTGCTTTAAAACTCTTTGGAACAATTGGATCTGAAACAGAAGGAGGGATTTAAGGAATTTTAATAAAAGAGCTAAGATATTTGGGATATGTTCTGAGATTTTCTATAAATTAAGTTTCCACTGCTACTTTAATGTTTCCACTGAACTTTTCATAATGATTTCAGATTCCAAAACAAATTCAGGGTTTTACTTCCAGTCTCTATTATAAGTTTTGAAAATTGACATTCACATACAGGGAAGCTTTTCAGACACTTAAAGAGGTGTGTGAAAAACATGAACCACATTACCCTAAACTATTCTGTATATTTATTAATAGAAAGATTTATGTCTTGGTTAGTGAGATACCGTTTTATTTTTGTCCTCTGATAACACCATAGTGCCTTTAGGAATATGGCTGCAACTGAGTTATGGTTCAATTGAAATTTTATTATTGTATATAATTATAGATATGGAGGGATCTACCGCTAGCACCTCCCCTATTCCAAAACGACGGGCTGCCAGCTTCAAGTGAGTCTATCAGTATTGATTGGTGATAAAATTAATACATTAGTGTAATGTCTCTTGAGATACATATCTGTGTGGATTTATTGAGTAGTAATAGATATTCTTACAGTTTCTTCCAAGTCAGAGTTTTGGCTTCTTAATAAAAGTTGAATTCAAATTCATCTGAATTTCAGTTGAAAGAATTGAAATAGCTAGTAGATCTCCAGACTTGCGATTTTTGGCAAATACAGTATATATAAGCCGTTCAGTTTAATATTGGTATATCCATATTTGCAGAAAATGGTTAACAGCACCAAAACGTGTCAGTCAGAGCAAGTTACCTGGCCCCCCAGTATCAGAGAACAAACCTAGACTGCCAATTAAACCTCTGCTGAATAGAAAACTGGTAAGTACAACATCATATTACAAAGCAGGTGATAAAGAAAAGATAACTCCTACACAGCAATAACTCATGAGAGCAAAGGGAGGTAAGTGTTTGTGTGTCTGCTTGATTCTTAAAGAAGTTAATGTTATTGGACAAGAGGAATAATTGGTTGATGTATTTATATTTGCAAGTGTCGGAATCACAAATGGGAAGCTGCCAATTTTTCTCTTCCTTGTTTCTCCTTCAACCTAGGAATGGTTTGTCTGCAGGCATTGCTCTTGTCAGAAGTAAACCACACAAATTGGCATTGTGGCAGATATAGCAGAAATAGTCATGCTGAAAATTTATTTCTGCAAGTTCAAAACACCTATTTGCCTTTGTATTTGATGTGTGAGTAATGACAGGCCATTTGTTAGCTTGTTGTTTCTTTCACCCATGGTGGTGCTGAATCCCCTTAAAAAAAGCTGTTTTATCTCCCTTGTCAATCCCTTACGTTGTGATCAGGTTAAAAAGCTAATTCTGAAATGAGGATTGGAAGGCATGTATTACATAAGACACTTGTATATATAGGGATGAAAACTTCTGAAACAGAAAAGTTTACAGAAAAAAGTAAAACAGCTCACAGGAATTTGATTAAAAACTGATATAGAGTGCTACCTTAATTGATTTCTTAACAAAAATTAAATGATTAGTTTGGGAATGTTTCCAATTTGATTTTTGTGATGCAAAATACTTCTTTGTTTTTAAAAACAGGATTCCCCATTCTTTTTGTAGTCAGATGTACTAGATACTGAAGTACACTATTATGATCAATATTTATCTATCTGTCCATCTTTTTTCTGTTTTTGTTAAATTTTACATTTTCTACTTCTTCTCCAAAGCCAAACAGGACCAATTTCAACCAAACTTGGCACAATTCATCCTTTGGAGATCGTTTAGGAAAAATACATAGAAAGATTTTTTTCCAGAAACATGCATGGATCATAAAAAACTGGGGAAATCTAAATAACGCAATGTAGATACCTGCTTGCTCAAATATTCATCTCCATCAGGCTAAAAGAGTTTAGTTTTTTCACTAGGAATATAAAAAAAGATATATATGAATCATGAAAAAATGTAAGACTTCTTGTATAATTAAGTTTATTAAATCATTTTTGGCATTTAGCGTCAGTGAGTGAAGGGGAACAAGAAAATTTGAATTTCATGTTCCTTGCCCCCCCTCCCCCCCCCCCCCCTTAGGGCCTGAGGGGTGGGGCTAAAAGCATCAAAATCAATGGAATCTTTAAAAAATCTTTTTCTTTACTCCCTGATATCAAGCAGTTAAATTGTTGATATGACTGTAATAAGCAAGGAGCCCTCTACCAAAATTGTGAAATTCATGGCCACAGAGTCAGGGGTTCTGATGAATAGATGGTGAAAATGCATTATTTCTTTAAAATCTTATCCTCTGATCCTGGGTATTAAGCAAACAAACTAAATGCATAGTTATGAATAGCAAGGGTGCCTTGGATCTTCCAAAATTGTGAATTTCATGGCCGCCGTGTCAGGAGTTCTGGTGTTAGGGCAAGGCTCTTGATTATAGTGAAAAATGTATTAATTCTTTGAAAATCTTCTCCTTTGCTCCTCAGTATTAAGCTGATAAAGTAAGTGCATGGTAGGATAAGCAAAGGTGCCTCTTCTAAAATTGTGTATTTCATGGCTCCTAGGACAGAAGTTCTGGTGTTAAGTTGGGGCTCTTTTGATCATATAACAAAAATGCATTAATGCTCTGGAAATCTTCTCCTCTGCTCCAGGGGGTATTCAGCAAATAAAAGTGCATGGTAATGATGAGCAAGGGTGCCTCTTCCAAATTATGAATATCATGGCACCTGGGTCAGAGGTTCTGAAGCTAGGGTGGGGCTCTATTGATTATATAGTGAAAATGCATTAATTCTTTGAAAATCTTCTCTTCTGCTCCTGGGTATAAAGGCGATGAACTAAGTGCATGGTTATGATGAACATAGGTGCCTCTTCCTAAATTGAGAAATATGTGGCCCCAGAGTCAGGGGTTCAGTGGGTGAGGCTCTTTTGATTATATAGCAAAAATGCATTAATACTTGGGAGATCTTTTGCTCTGTTACTTGGTATTTAAGAAACAAAGTAAATGCATGGTTATGATGAGGAAGGATGTCTCTTTCAAAATTGTGAAATGTGAACCCCAGGGTCAGGGGTTCCTGTGGTAGGTGGCTCTACTAATTATATAGTGAAAATACACTATTTTTTGATTATCGTCTGCTCTGCTTCTGGGTATTAAGTAAACAAACTAAGAATATAGTTATGATGAGCAAGGGTGCCTCTTTCAAAATTTTGAATTTCTTAGCCTCTGGTTTAAAACATGAACCCAATTCAATTTTGGGAAAGTTGTTACCTGATACTCAGTTGACCTATAAGGCCTGTGGCCTCATGTTCAGATCATGCCCCCTGGGATAGGGCATAGCCTAAATAGCAGGTTCATAGGTATAAATATGAATGCCATGTATATGAGGAAAATGTATGTATTTTTTTCTGGAACAGCAATGCCAAAATTTCCTATTTTCATTAAAACATTATGTTATGTAAGTTTAATTTTATGCAAGTAATAGCCCTTAGGGCCAAGATGATAAGGAATATGGTCAGGTTCAAAGTGTGAAAAAGGTAGAAATACACTTCCTGGAGAACAAGAAGACTAATTTTGTGAAATCAATAGATTTATCCATATGTATTATCAATATTTTTTGCATATACATGGATGAAATCTCATGATATGCTTATTTGTCAAATAAGGTAGTCATTTAACTCAGAAGAGCATTGGGGCCTATGAACCTCTTGTTTAAAATTCACAGAATAAGAATCATTTTTGGCTGCATTTTAGCATATCTTATGAGGATACAGTTTTTTCTTCTTACTTTAAGCTCATTAGCAGTTTTCCATGTAGAACATCTCTTCCTCTCTCTCTCTCTCTCTCTCTCAATTGGAGCTGGTACTCATTGCAATTTGGCCCCATTGGATGTCTTTGCAATTAGATATAGTAAAGATCATTAAATATTTCATTACAGTTGGATGCACAAGTATGATACATGTGGAATTCAGTAGTGGGAAATTGTCTATTATAAAAATGTTGAGATTAAGTACATGTAGAAGTGCCTATTTGATATTTTCCTTCAAGTGGAAAGATAATTGATCAGCAGAAAGTCATTAAGGTCTTAAGAGCTGGCAATGTCCAAAGAGATGATAAACAGTGACATCTCTCCTCTATCTTATCACTTGATAGAACATTTTATTTAATTTCCCTTCCATTTGATCAAGGACCAGCTATTTGTTAAAATATCCATCCCAGCAACCTTTAAGATGTGGCATGACAGGTACTTGAACATTATCTGACTCTGGAGTACTATGTCATGGTTAATGCATCAATAGGGAATCCTGCTCCAAGTCAACTTTAGGACTAGTCTGTGATCATTTGAAAAAAAAAAGCTTTTGTATGTAAATCTTTGTTTTTGCTATAAATGTTAGCTTGAAGATCACTTTATGTGTACAAAATGCTGTGATCTATTTAAAACTAGGGACACTTGCAACAGCTGTTGTGTATGATAGGATGAAGGCCTTCTGACACCAGATTACCTATCACAGGTACGATGGAGAAAGCCTTCAATTTCAACCATGTGTGGCAAAAAGATATCCCAGTGGCTAGTTATTTTAATTGGGGTAATCTTACCAGGGATGGAGTTATCTCTTGATTCAGATATCTTAATGATGACCCTCAATTGTTTTATCATGCTGTAATCTGCAGCAAAAACAAACTTTGGAGGGAAGTGTAGCTACATGTGAGCTTTGATGTACTAGATCAGCTGCATGTTGAACCCTGAAAACTTGTATATATTTGTGAGTTTTTTTTATTTATATGATTAGATCGGTGATTGCTGAGTGTTTGACCTGTATCACTCATTACCTGATACTGTTAAATTGAGTCAATCAAGCATGGAAAATGTCGCAGTTGTCTGCCCTCAGTCTGTATGCATTAAAAAGGAGAAATATTTGTGCATTGATTTCATGTATTAATCTGATTTTAGAAGATTACCATTAATTCTATAGGATTAAAAGATGGACTTGTGTGACTTGGATGTATATATATAAGTGTGTTGCGTGTATGGGATTGTTGTCTTTTAATTAGTGACCAATACAACATTATTGATATTAACTTTTGAGGGACATGCTCTCAGCAATAATGTCTGGGGATGAAAAATTATCATCAGTGCAATATTTGTACAGTAAAAGTATAATGTTGAAATGAGACATCATGACTTCGAAATATTACACCAAGTAAAAAATAACATTCTGAAGAAGGAAGTTTCCCATTGCCTAAATTAATAATGCCTTAAGTGTTAGTACTACTCAAACTGATTCTGAAAACACCAAAATTTTACCATAAAATTTGTTGTTAAAAAAATTGTGATAAATGGATCTGAAGAAGCACAAGAAAGTCAAAAAGAAGATCTCGGTCTTCGGCATGTGTGCCTGTGTAGGGAGGGATGTAGAAGATAGATATGACAGCAAACCTTACACCAGAGTTGTGAGTAACAAATTTATAAATTGAGATAATGTCAGCAGGGTTTAGACTGGTGAATGTCATGCATTTTCCCCCTGGTATTTATTCTTAGTATTGCCTTCGTATATGCTATTTATCTATCATAAATGGAACAGAGAATTGTCAGGTCATTAAAGTCAATCAAATCATACATATTAATACTACAAACTTGTACTTATGGTGATATGGTCTAAATTCACAGTACAAGTACTATCAATTTCCTTACCATATACCATACCTTTGGAACAGATTCCAGAATTCACAATTTCTATTTTATTCTTTTGTAAATAAATTTAGGCAGTACATATATCTTTCCTAGTGACAAAATGACACGAACTGAATTGTGGATTTTCTGTTTATAGCTTAAAAGTTAATAAATTCAGGTCCCAATAAATAAATAAATTTTCTGATTATTTAT